TTTTGAAAGCCGGAATAACGAATTTGTAAATATATTTTCCAATCTTTTTAAACTAATTATATATGCAGCATCTATTGCCGCGTTTATCTTTGCCTCTTTTTATTTTACTTCATTTTTTTTTACAAAGCCAAATTCTCCATAAAAAGTTCTACATTTTGACAAAATTTTTAAGCGTATAACTAAAAAAATACCGAAGTTATAGCGAAATATAAAATCCTAGCGTAGCGATATCATAGCGTAGGATACTCTCGAGCTGAGGTGTCATATTTTGATAAACCCAAAACAACCGGAAAAAATGCACTTGGGTAGGCTTTAAACCCTGCCAGTCGATTTCCCGTATAATAAAACCCCGACAACTCAAGGTTTTGTATCATTCAAACTCAAGCAACAGCGGCGCGCTGTTGTTTTTCTATTCATTTGAGTTCAAGTTGGACATGAGAAGTGTGCAAAAGAATGAGTGAGTACTTTTTTTGTGTTAAAATTGACACTGATTGTGAGATGAGAAGATTTCTTATTCACATTTTACGTTCCTTATTTTTTTGACGATCTTGCTGATTTGATTTCAATGTTTAATCGATTTGAGAGGGTAAAATCAACAATCGATTGGAAGTGGGTTTTGTTTTCTGAAAATGAGAAAGAAGCTAACAGTATTTCGAAAATTATTTCACGTGATTATACTAGTTCTAGAAGAGCTTATCATTGCAGTGGACGTATGATGGATTCTATTCGTTTTTAGATGTTAAGCAAAGAAGTATTATTGTTCACGATCAATTTCATTTACGGAAATTTGCTGCTTTTCTTCTTAATGATTTTGAACATATATCATATTTTGACGCTGTGGAAATAATTACTCGATTTAATCCTATTGATGGAAAAAAATTTAAAATTATATGCAGTAGTAAGAAGGAATGTAAATATTTATGGGATTCTATTCGAACATTTTGTAAGGGGACTGATCCTGAGAATTATGAACAAGACTTTTATGATTATCATAGAACATTTTTTAGTAAAGAGAAGAAGACAGAAAACGATAGAAGGGAAAATGTAATTTGTGAACTTTGTAATTTAGAGAATTGTGAATGTTCTACATTGTATTATAATCATTGAGATTTACAATGAACTTATTACTTTACTATCGTATCTGATTATATATTGTTTTTTATTCTTGTACCATTTCTTTAAGATGTTGTCTATGTCTTCTTTTCGAACGTGGTTGAAACGTTCTAGAGAGAAAGAGTCAATTTGTTGATGCCACAACATGCACATCTTTTGTTTCGGGATCCTCTTTTTCATACAGTGTTATTCCATTTTTATGAATTATCCCACATACTATTACTCCAACTTCATCACAGGTCATTTTGTTGAATGCGTCTACCTCCAGCAAAAAACTTGTTAATCGCATTTCTTTTATTGCTTCACATTGAGGGGATGAAATCGATGGTGTATATTTTGGTTTTGATTTTATTATAAGCTTTTAGGATTACCTTGGGACAAGGACAAAGACACCCTGAAGGTTGGGCTGCATAAGGATGAAACTATCACCACAAAACGAGGCGCTCTTTCTCAACTAGCGAAGATCTATGACCCCCTCGGTCTGGCCTCGCCAACGACCCTGCAAGGGAAATTTATTTACCGTGAGATGTGTGAAAGCAACATAGCCTGGGACAGTGAACAGAGAATGGGACAACGCAAGGACTCGTCTGCTCAAAGTCTCGGTTAGCAAAGCGAAATTTAAGAGAGCATGTCCACAAAAATCAAACATGAGGCGGCCACAGCTGAAAAATCGATTTTTCCCAAATTTTGGCCCGATATACCTTCCTACATCGGAAAATACAAAATACATTGTTTTAGGTCAAATGCTTTTTTAACTTCGAGAAAATGCCGTTTTAACACGACCGCCTGAAATCGCCATTTTATCTGGGGAAATAAGCGCTGTTTTTACCGATAATTTAAAGACGATAACCGTTTCTAATCGATCTAAAACCCTAAAAATCTTGTTCTCGACTATTCAGAGGATCGGATACGTGATTTAAAGGAAATCTGAGTTGGTTTCAGGAATATAAATAATCATACTTTTGGAGCGCACTATCTTACTTCATGAACGATAACCCCTTAACAAAACCGATTTTCACCATGGGATAAAGCTTCAAATCGATTATGCTTCTACTTGTTGGCTCTTTAATAAACAAGCTTTCATTTGACGTAAATATATCTTTGGGCAAATAAATACGCGATAAACGATAGCGCGTTGAAATGTCCCTATTTTTGACATCTTGCAGGTCAATTTCTGTTAATTTATATACAGGCTTTAAACAATATACTCAAGTATTCTAAGTGTTTTATACCTTTAGCGAAGAAGAAATATTCTTGAATTGAGACTTTTAGCTTTGCTAAGTTTATAACTGGCCCAGGAGTCCCGATATATTTGTAAATTATCATCATACAGATTACAGGTCTTTTGAATGTTGTTGTCGGTTCATAATAAATTCAGATCCGTCACTGTTCAATATGTCAACGATCAGCAGTTATAAACTTTAATGGTAACATAAAATTGAAGATCTGTTTAGGGAATATATTTTCTACCAAATCTCCAAAACTTCGATTGTTGTTTTGTTCCAGTTTGACCATATCGACTTTCGATTACCCTTGACGAACGCATATTAGGTTAATTAGCGTGTGTGTGAAATGAACATCTTATGTCACTTCATGTCACCTGTCAACAGCACTCTTATACAACGGTGGTATACAATTTCTCAATTATTTTATAAGCTAGGAAAGCAGTTTTTCTAACATAGGCTAGCTATTGTAGGCAGTTGTTTGAGTAAGTATACACGAATTTTGAAGTTATAGCAAGCGACTTCCGTGCATGCTTGTTGTGAAATGAATAATTCAGTACCATATACAAGGATTTGAAAGGAGTTATAGTATACAATAATTATTTTAATGTTTATTCACGTTGATGCATGTGCACAGTTAAAATTACTTTACTTACAAACAAACACTATTGTCTATTGACCTTGTTGTATTCCATAAATTATCTATGTGCATGAGTCTGTTAGCCCATTGCGACCTCAGAATGTATTATGTTGTCTCCCCCCCTCCACTGTCCTCGATACGTATCTCCAAGATATACGTCACGTCTTAAAGAAAATGGAAGCTTGTTGCTCGTTTAAGAATATTGTCGGTACCTCTTGTGGTTTTAATGCTAAAGATCGTAAGCGCCAGACTGAAATTATTCCATTGCTGTCTTGTACAAAGGATATTTCAAGGCACTTGTCTGCACTAAGTTTTTCGGGGCCTAAAAATGAAGTAGATCTCATATTGTCTCGAGCGGCTGTTTATAACAAGTCAGATGAGAGTATCAAATCTATGACCATCTGTCCTCATCATCGTGCGACGCTCGGAATAAGCTGGACTAGAGGTGGAAGTACAAGATGCCGAGTTCCAGAAGTCATTTCAGAGCACGGAAAGTCTAACCGAGCTTGGCCAAAGGGTGATAGAGGTTTGGGCAAAGAAGAATCAATAACCATATTACGCAATGCCGGGGTGTTCGTCCCTCCAGGATCAGGTAGGCTTTTACTGTAGGACGCTATATTGTGTTTTGTAGTATAAAATATATTTATGTATTATAAGTGTATTTTATGTAATATAAAATATAATTCTTTCAGGAATTTGCAAGAAATGCCGATATTTGATAAAAGAAATGAACGATAAAGATTCCTCAAAGTCACCTTTCAAACCTATTGACAACAAATGGCAGAGTTGACGATGGTACGATATATCTAAAAATAATTGTAATAGTAAATTATGATAATTATTATAACCACACCCATCTACATTCTGCATATTAACACATAATATGCAGAAATATTAAATTCATTTTTGGTTGCAAGGGATATAAGCCCTATTAGAAACCAATTAACTACACCGTGGGACGAAGCTTCACAAAGGACTAAGCGACGTTATTCTCGCAAAGCAAAGCAGGTCGTCTTTGCCGCCTTAGACGAAATTGCGCCTGAAAGCTCAGAACAATTGTTCAGCGTATTGCAATCAACTGATCGAGAAAAAGAAAGCCTTGATAAATCACTTATGCAGGCACTTGTAGAATGTTACAATAACACAAACCACTGGAGCACAAGAAGACAGATCTTGTCAATAATGGCAGATAAGATATCTTACTCATCATTGAAAGACTGGATTCCCGGCCTAAGTAGATACAGGTTTAATGTGGCTTGTCACCATATACTACTCCATGGAAGAGGTTCTGCAGTTACTGCTACGAAGAGTGCTCGCATGTATATTCCACTTGAAAAACTTGATCACTTTTTAACCTTTATCACAAGTGGTCAAGTTGTTCTAGATTTGCCATTTGGAGAAAAAACACTGAAGCTCTCCAACAGTGCAACGGTCACAGTACCAAATGTTGTACGAACATTGATTCCCGAACAGGTAGTTCAACAATACATAACCTATTGCAAAGAAATTGGCTTTGCGCCAATGAGTCGAAGCAGCCTATGCAGAGTTTTGACAGTGTGCAGTGCTTCCGTGAGAAAGTCGTTGCAAGGATTGGACTACTTTTCTGCGGAAGGTGCTCAAGCATTTGATGACATAGAAGAGCTAGTGGAAAAGCTTCGAGATGAGTACAATAAAGGCCACACGTGGGCGAAGAACACGATCAGTAAACTGAAAATGGCAAAACGCTATCTGAAAAGTGATTACAAGGTATAAAAAGCAGAACGAATACTGGCTTTTTAGAAATGTTATTTAATTGCAAATAACGTCAATACAAATTCATTTGCATTGTCCGAAGTTCATACACCAAGTGTTCAACCTTTTTTCTTTGCACGAGGTAAACCCACGTGACTTAACTCAACCAATTAAAACGAAACTATTAAATATTACTAAGATGAAGTATAACAGTATGTCAGATTAAATTACTGTTTTCTACATCCTCCCCAACAAAGAATTAACGTTCGCTATTAATATATATATATATAGAACTAGGAAAAACGTTCACGAAGTCTACGTAAGTTCTGGCCTTCTATGGCCGCCTTCCTTTTCTTGCGTTTTCCACTCTCCGGACCGTCATGAGTCTTGACTTCTTCGTTTAAGCTTTCATCCTCTGGTTCCTCTGGAAGCTCGAGAAGCTGGGCATCATCGGTTGCATTCTCTTCGTTGTTTTCATTTTCGCAAATTTCAAACGGAATCAGTTTCTGTACTGGACGAAACACAGTTGTCTGTTTTCCCGCTTTCGACAACACTTTAAGTTGAGCACCTCGTATTTGGCCGTCCAGACCTTTTACAAGCCGTAGAATTTTTCCCATTCTCCACTGAGTACGAGGAACCGGTTCGTCGTCTCGTATCAAGGCGACATCTCCTACTGCTATGCTACGCACGTTCTTGCTCTTCGATTTTCGATATATGTTCATTTGTCGTAGCTCGCTTAAATAACTACCGCGAAACCGCGCCCAAAAATCTTTCAACACCTTTCGAACATGGAAAAGTCGGCGCTTACACTGTACAACACTCGTGGGAAATATGAAATCACCAGGTTTTGTTCTTTTTCCGACGTTACGCCCGTGCATGAGGTGGAACGGTGTCAGCGCTTCGTCAAGGTCATCATCACTCACGTAGGCTAACGGCCTATTGTTAATCGCGACTTCAATTTCACACAATACTGTTTGTAACTCTTCAAAAGTCACAAAAGCTCTTCCAAGGGTTTTCTTTAGACACGTCTTGACAGTTCTAACCAAACGTTCGTAAAAGCCACCCCACCAAGGCGAGGCAGGCAAAATGAACCTCTGCGTGATCCCTTGCAACAACATAAATTTTTTCACTTCCGCCGATTTAAAGGTCTTAAAATTATCGTTAATGATCATATCTGGTATTCCTCTTCGCGCCATGAACCTCTTAAAACCTCGTAAAAATCCATCCACCGACATGTTAGGCACGAGTTCTAAGTGAACGGCTCGACTGGACGCGCAAGTTAGTAATAAAATGTACGACTTGTTGTTCTTTGAAGCACCTTTAACGTAAAGAGGTCCGGCGAAATCAAGACCAGTAGCTTGAAAGGCATGAGCAGAATGGTCGACTCTATAATCCGGTAAATCGGGACTTGACGGAGGACGCATAGGCAGGCCTTGATACCGAGTGCATACAACGCACTTTCGCAAAATCTCTTTGACGCTCTTCCGCCCTTTTACTATCCAATAATTTGATCGAATTCGGGCTAACGTTGTTTCTACTCCGTGATGCATACACTTTTCGTGCGTGTCCAAAATAACCAATCGCGTGAAATGACTGTCCTTATTTCGAAGGATGATAGGAAACTGTTCTTCATATTTTAAAGACGAGTTCGCAAACCGACCTTTTAGTCTCAACAGCCCGTCGTCGCTTTCAAACAACTGCAGTGATGATCGAATGTTCTGAAAGTTATCTTGCTGTTTTAGCGAACGTTGTTCCTCTTTTATCCATAATTCCAAAGACTCGTTAAATTCGGCAACAGTAATCATATCGTCTGTAATTAAGTTTTCTTCTTTCTTTACCCGTTTGCGAAGGTTTTTAACATATCGTAGAACGTAAGCAGTCGTTACGATAAGCTTCTTTAGAGAACTGAATCGGTTACAGTTGATGACGGTACTCAATCGCGCTTCGCTGTCTTTCGTGTTCTGCTGTGCGATGAAGTTTGAAACTTCAAAGGAAGACTCGGGAATTTCAGAGGAGTTTTCACCATCAACCCTCCCCAACAAAGAATTGTCAATAGTACAATTAGTGCTACTGACTTTACCAAGGGACTCCATGTCATGCGACAACAGCATCGACGGACCTTTTAACCAACACCCAGAAAAACACTCAGCTAAATTAGACGACACCCTAGTAGGGATGTCCGCCGGGTTAAGCTCCCCTTTCACATAGTTCCATTTACTACGATCAACTACCTTCCTGATAGCTACAACTCTATTCTCAACCCATGGCTCCCAGCTCTTTTCCTTTCCCCGTATCCAAGCCAAGGCAACTTCCGAATCCGACCAACAATACACATCATTATACGTAATACGATTATTAGAACCAATAATAATTTCCTTTATTAATTTACTTAAGAGCAAACAACCCAAAAGCTCCAGCCGGGGTATTGTCACCGTTTTCAAGGGAGCTACCTTTGTTTTCGAAGTTACAAAACTAACCTTGACGTTGCCACAATAAATGAGTCGAAGGTATACTACAGCACAATAAACTTCTTTAGAGCTGTCAGAAAAACCATGAAGCTCTACACGAATACCGGGATCAAATTGGTCCGCGAGAATAAACCGAACACATCTTACTTCTTTTAGGTTTTTTAATTCCTCTAAAAAGGTACTCCAAATCAACACAATGTTCTGCGGGATTGCGTCATCCCAATTCAATTTATCTTTGCAAAGCATTTGAAAAATAGTTTTAATTTTAGCTGTGATCGGTGACACAAAACCCAAGGGGTCGAAGATGGAAGCTGACACACTTAATAAATTCCGCTTAGTTTGTAGCATGGATTCGCACTTTTTTAACAAGTCATCAAAACGAAAAACAAATTCATCCTTAGACGTGTCCCATCCCATGCCTAAAACCGTTTTTTGATGAGTATCAATATTAGGAGACATTACTTCGAAATACGTACTATCATCACTCTGGGTTTGTGCATTAATTTTTCCGTTTTCTTTGGAGGCAATATATTCGCTTAGTTCCGAATCATTCGTTATCCATTTTCTAAGGTCAAAACCTGCTTCTAACATAATAGCTTTAGTCTTATCGTAAAGCACCTTCCCTTCATCTCGCTCGTCACATCCACTAACAAGATCATCGACATATAAATCATCCCTTATACGCTCAACTATTTCTTTCTCCTTATCTATGTATTTACTGAGATGATGTCTTATTGTCCCGTTTAATAAAAATGGGCTACTTGTGACTCCGAATACAACTCTCAAGAATCTATATACTATCACGCGCTCGTCTTGTGATTGTAAATCGTACCACAAGAACCTGAGAAAATCGCTATGTTTTTTGTCAATTGCGATGTTGAGGAAAGCCTGCTTGATGTCCGCTAGTATGCCAATTCTGTTAAATCGAAACCGGAGTAAGATATCAAAGATTTTAGCTAAAAGGTTGGGTCCGGGATACAAACATTCATTCAAAGAAGGACCATTAGCCTTGCAGGAAGCATCGAACACCGCTCGTATCTTAGTTGTTTCTTTGTCTTCGCGCACAACTGGCCTATGGGGAAGATAGTGAACTTTTCCCGATTCCTTAGCTATTTCATCGATGGGGACCCGCTCAATTATCCCATTTTCTTCATAATCCGAAAATATTTTGTCATATTCATTCAAAATATTTCTTGCATCTAAGCGAGGTTTCAAAGATTTTAACCGTTTCTCACTTATACTAAAATTGTCAGGAAGTGGTTCATGGTCAGGTTTAAATGGTAGTTTTGCTATATACCTTGTTCCGTTGTGGGCAATGTCTTTCTCAAACTGGTTAACAACACAATCCCTAGAAAATCCTACGTTTTCAACATTCCAAAACTTTTCTAGATCTTGCCTTAAATCCTGATCTCCCGCTTGTTTATCAGCGGCATCAACGGCGGTGCGCAGTAAATAGGTCTCAAGACAATGCATGCTACTCGAACTATAACTACTTCCACCACTTACCACCCATCCAACTTTTGTCTGACAAGCTACAGGTCCTAAGCTGCTCCTTAGCACCCTCCCGGTCATGAATGCGTAATAATAATCAATACCTACTAATATTCCTACGGGGCGATCCGAACCATGATCATCGCAATCGGCAAATTCAAGTTCTCTGAATTCCTGGCATTCACGTACACTTGACATGCATTGATTTGTAAGGGGGCTACAAATTGTGGGCACACACAAAGCTTCTACACGAGTAAAATTTGCATAATGCTTATGTTTGATTTTAAATTGGACAACATCGAGTTTTTGTACTTCGCTATCCTCCGCATGACCGAAGGTCTTAATAATTACTCTCTCCGTCCGTATCGTTTTCAACTTTAACCGAGATCGAACCTTTTCCGAAACGTACGATCGCTGACTACCGCAATCAAACAACACACGTGTTTGCACCTTTTGTTGTTCATCAACAGCGGATACATCCACCCTGGCAGTTTGCAGCAAAATTCCCCTTTTATCGCAACTAGCATGCCCTACAAATTCATTACTTGCTCCCCCTTTGTCCTTTTTACTCTCCCCCTCTTGTTTACTCTCTCCCTCTTTTTCTCCTTTGGGTTCCTCCGAGTTTTTATTTGGGGCAGACTTGCAGATTGATATGTGATGTTTACCCTTCTTACATCGCCGGCAAACGTAAGTTGATGTGCAATTTTTTGCAACATGCCCAGCGTCCAGACAAACGAAACATCTCCCTTTCTTACGCAAAATTACTTTCCTGGATTCATGGCTAGAGACAGTAGTGCATTTAGAAGATAGATGGTCATCTTTATTACAATATATACATGCACTAGCCCTAGTTCCTGCAAACAACCCACTTGCTGTGATTGGCCCCCCTTTCTTATAACTTTCATAATTACTTGATCTAGATGTGTTCATGCTGGCACAATTCTCTTGAGCCCTAAGCTCGTCATTAAAATATTCCATTACTTGTTCTAAGGTCCAGGTGTTCCCACCAAATTTCCTAGCAATTACCATCGTTATTTCATCTGGTAACCGATCTTTTAATATTGGTATCATAAGTGAACCGTACCCTGTTGTATCAAGTTTCAATGACCGTAAGTTTCGAACGCAACTTTCAATGTGATTATAAAGTGTTCTCAAACCTTTAATATTTTCTCGGGACCTAATCTTATTGATTTTCAACAAGGACTCCATGTGTGCTGAGATAAGAATTTGCTCATTTCCAAATCTATCTTGTAATAATTGGATCGCTTCTTTATAATTTTCACTATTTAGGGTGAGTCCAGAAATTGCAGCTAATGCTGCACCTCTCAAACAGCCTTTTAAATAATTGAATTTATCAATGTCACTTATACTATCCTTATTGTGAATTGCCACCTGGTACTGGTCCCAAAACCCCTGCCACAAAAGTGGGTCTCTGGAAAACTCAGGCAACTTGATTTTGGGTAACTTACACTGGACTGGACTAACAGTGCTAGGCATTAAACTTGATGAGGTGGAACTATCTATTTGCGTTTTAAACTCTTCAAGCTTTAAATCAACTGCTGCCAAAATTTGGTAAGTCGGTTCTAGATCTTTCATGTGTTCAATTACTTCCGCTTCAACCTCCTTCGGGTCGATCAATGTAATAACTTCATTGTGAACAACCGCTAATTGAGCAAGTATATTAGCCACCGTACTCTTAAATCCCAAAATTTTGGTTTGATTACAGTCATCCGAAGAAATATATGAATTCAATTCGTTTAAAACTGTTTTTAGATACGTTTTAAGACCGCTGTATCTACCTTTGACTCTTACTGTCGCTTCCATCATATTTTATTATACTGTACAAACCAACAAAGAAAGGAATTAACCTCAAGTATATTTTCAATTTTCACACTCAAGACTAATACGGCACAGTACGACACGATACAAGTACATACGTAACGTAATTCCAGAAAATATCAGCAAAGAAAGGGAAGAATTATACCTCTACTGCCCGTCCGATTTAAAGAAATGTTGTCGCCATGCGAGTCCCAACGTACACTGCCGCACCGAACACTTCGACAAACAAAGCGCTATTACCGCCAACAACTGATTGTTTTCGCCGTTTCCCGATTCTTTAATGTCCCCTATCGGGCTCCATATAAAAAGCAGAACGAATACTGGCTTTTTAGAAATGTTATTTAATTGCAAATAACGTCAATACAAATTCATTTGCATTGTCCAAAGTTCATACACCAAGTGTTCAACCTTTTTTCTTTGCACGAGGTAAACCCACG